GGCTGAAATATGTTTAAATATATGCTGTGGTCTATGTCTGCATTTTTAGATGTAAAATTTGTTCCTCTTCATGGAGTGAATCTCGCATCTCTGCTGACAAACTGTCTCAGTTCTCCAGTAATTCTCCTCACTGTAATTCTCAGTGTAATTGTCCTGAACTGCAGTTTCAAGCTGGGTTAGATGGAGTGGCAGTAATGTGCTCTTAAAATGGAAAAGGACAGCTATACATAGTGATAGCAGTTTTTTGTGAGTCTGTCTTGATCGCCATTCTTGATTTACTGCCTTACTGCAGTACTGGTACAGTTCTACCCTAGAAGAGTCCTGAGGTTCTTTTGTTCATTGTATTGTACTTAGGGTAGTTACGCCATAAGAGTATTTGAAAAAACACTGTTTAAACAGTTAAGAAGTCATTAATAGAGCACTTACTCTTTAAACATTGATTATTTTTTCTGTTGTTCTGTATGTGGAGCACTTACTCTCCATCTTTATCTTGTAATGAGCAGTTGTGCAACAGAAAGGTCTCTGATATCTTTGGCCTTTGAGTGTGTGATTGATTATTATGCACTGCTGTTATTTTGAGATTTTAATTTTGTTCTGAGAAAGCTAAAATGTTAAACTAGCAAGTTAATTAAAAGTTCATTTTCAATGATGCTTTTGGCTATATTTTAGGCTAATTCTAGAACTTCATGTTAAATGTCTAGTTTGAGGCTCGGTGAAATAATGCCACATATTGAGACATGCTGTATATCATCAAGATAAAGACGAAAAAAGCGGTGCTAAAAGCAGGTCTTGTAATAAGATATTAAAACAAAAGCTCGTCAGTTGCTTGTTCTACCCTTGTGTTGTACTGTAATTAAAGCCAGGTGATTAAATCACTGAAAAAGTGTGCTTTCTTTTCAAGATTTTCTGTGCAGCTCTGAGCCCATCCTTTGTCTTCTCTGAGATCCTTCAGAAGTGCCTCATCCTATACCAGAACTGCATATGGCTTGGGAAACAAAACGCTTCGTGGCTTTCTTACTTGTCAGGCTAAGTAAGGAGTTATCTTCAGCCTACCTCTTGGTAGATGTTAGAGTAGTAGTCATCAAGCAGAATGTTTTTTGTTGTTGTTGTTACTTGTTTTTATTTCTTTGAAGAAAACAGTCTACTTACTTGTCATAGGTGAAGTTAAAATTGGTCCTTCTGGAGCATAGCAATTTTGTAACTTCCTAATATCAGCTAGGATTCATATATTGTATGTGCATAAGTTTAATGTATTATAATCTGGGATCTCTGTGGAAGAATTTTTCTATTTCGTTAATCAGGAAATACTAGGAATTTGTTACAGGGGTAAAAGTTGTAGTGCTATCTAACTGCATGAAAGTAAAATGTAGACTGTGATTTAGCAAGTTGGTGGTACTCTTCTGAATCATTGACCTAGAAAGCAATGGAACTTAAATGGAATGTGATTTTTATACACCACAGGTCAAAGCAGAGGAGGTTCTTTTGTTCAATTTGCAAAACTGAATATTAACTGGAAATATGATAAATACTAGATTTGTAAAATTAATACATAATTCCTTGTAAAACATGGAAACAAAAATATGTAGGTTTTTTTGAAACTTCCTTACTGTGGTTTCTAGAGAAGATGGACTGTACTGGAGAAGATTGAGTGTACTGATGAACTGCAAGTTTGACTTTATTCTAAAGTCTCCATAAGTCTTGTGGAAGCAGCATGGTAGAATGTCTGCAGTTAATTGAGTTAATGGGTTATAAATGAGAGAGGATGCAAACTATCACAAGAACATAAATTACTAAGGAGGAAATGTGGGCTGGGATTTCTTTTTCTATCTGAGGAGGTGTTACGATACTGGAGAGTAAGTTTCTTAAATAGTTGTATGTTACCTTGTATTTTAAGAAAGAGGGAAAGCTACCACTCAAACTATATATAGTTGTGATCTGAATTAAGGTTGTGATAATTCTTTAACAGTCCTCAAAAGCTGAGGTGTTATGAATGTTCATGAGCTATCCTCTCCGCTTTAAATTGGACTAGTTGTTAATATGAGGCACAAACGGGCTGGGACTTTAGTTTGATCTGAAGGGAAGTGTGAATTATAAAAGCAAGTGTAATTAGGTCAGTATATGCTGCCCTTTTTTCTGGCGGTACCGGCTTAAGCACCTCCTCATATAACTTGCATCAGCTCTCAAAACTGGTTTGCAGTGACTAAACAAATGCTTCAGCCAGTACAACTAAAGAGGTGGTGGTGCAACTCAGCAATGAGCATCGGGGAAGGGAAAGATTTATAATAACTCTTAAACCTGGCACTGCTGCTGAAGTTTGTTGGTTTGTGCTGGAAAGCAGGAAGAACAAATGGGGCTGGTTTCACAGAAGGCGCTGTGTTACGTAGCTGCTGTGTAAAAGGCGTTGTTTTGGAAATTGGAGAACCCACCAAGGATACTGCATAACTAATAGTATATTAAATAGCAGTATACTACCATAAATACTAGTTATTCTCTACAGGTGTTTGTTTCAGGGCTTGCGCTTAATTTTGTTTTCTAGAGATAACTTGTAGTAATGATACAAAAGTGACGAACGGATAGACCTTTAAGATAATTTGAACTAGTGATTCACAACTAGTATGGAAATAACATTTGAATTTGCTGCATGAAACGGACCAGTGCTGTGGGTTGCTGACCAATTGCTACATTAAAGACATGATGACTTGAATCCTTTTTGCGAAGTCTGGAAGTCAGTACGTTTCTACTTAGACATCAGCTTATTAACATGTTGTTGGTTTTACTTATTTCTTTACTAGATGCAGGAAGAGGAGAGTATTTTAATCCTGTTTGTAAAGACTTTAAGAGCATCACTTCTCTAAAATTTACATAATGAAATTCAACAGCATACAGTTAAATGGACATTAATTTGTTAATTATTAAATTTAATAACATTAAATTTAATGTGTATTTTCTATGGCCACTTGTTTACAGACCTTTTTTTGCAGTTTGAATTTTGAGAGTCTACTGGTATTTTGTAAGGTTTGTGTTGCTGATGCTCTGTTGCACTTCCTTTCCTGTGGTCACTCTTGTATTTCCCTGTGCTATCTTGTCTGTGCCCCGCCTGCAGATTCTGCAGAAGTGTGTTTACAAGGGACAGTGATTAATCAGAAAGTTGGAGGGATAAAAGGCAGATATTATGCATAGGAAAGAAAAGGGTGGGGAAGAACAAATAAGCACAAGCATGTTTGTTTCTCCTTGCTTGTGACTCACTTTTTCATAACAGAAGGATTTTCAAATGGAGCAGAACGATAACTGAAAACAAACAGGAAGTAAAAAAATAATTATCTCTGCACTGAACCATGAGAGGGTTCAGTACTTTCAGATTAGTAAATGAACAAGCTAATTAATTTGATTGGCTTTTAAACCTACAACTGTTATAAAAGCTATATTATATGCTATTATGTTATTATATAGTAATATATAGTATTTCATAATATATGGAGTATTATTTAGAGTAGGGTGGGTCTGATTGTTAATGCAGTGAATGCAGCCATAATTTCTTGATCTATCTATAATTTGTGTTTACCCTTCATCTTTATGTACATATGACTGATGATTATTTTCTTTTTCTTCAATTTAAGATCAAAGGCATATCTTGGAAAAAAAATCTTTCATGTGCTGCTTTTCATTCTGTCATTGCGTACACCTAGCTGAGCTTTCCTGTGCTGGCATTCCCCTTGATTACTGTATTGAGTCCCATCTTCCGGACCCAGTGGCACTTAAGCTTTCAGGTTAGGGGCACTGCTTTGTGCTACTCAGGACGAGCATGTAAGATACGCATGCTTGGTGTCATTTTCCAATATGAGATCTGAAGAGTCCTAGTGCTGGTCTCTCACTCAATTTTAAACCCACCTTTTCCCTCGACGCTTATTATTTTGAGCTATATTTCACTTTTTTTGAGGAGTGTGATAATAAAGGCAAATAAAAGCACGGAAAAGTTTGCATGGAATCCTGAAAAAAAATCATCAGTTGCTTTCATAGGAAAAACATGGGAATACATTCATTTCTCTGAAGGCAACATCTCTCCCCCAGCCTTATGCTTGCTTTGAGACTTGATGAGATTCCTTATGCGTGCAGGAAGGCAGGGGTTTCTACCATCCCATCAGGTTCCTGTAATAACTATTGTCATCTTGAACTACTGGAAGTGATTCATTTCAGTAGTTACACCTGCCTGGTTAGTAACATTCCAGTCCCCTCTTTCATGCTGTCTCCTCATCAGGTCTCAGCCAGTGACTCTGATCTTCTGCCAGGTGACTCACGTGTAACCTCTTCTCAGATGCAGCAGTTTTGACTAGAAGTCTTGTGTCATAAGCAGTTTCAGATTCAATAAGTTGCTATTAAAATTTAATTAACTCTACAAATGGATATTTACAAAGATACTTGATGATGCAGCAATCTTGAGATTAACTTAATGCTGTGAACTAGTATCGCTGAGAGGTAGAAGTATCCTTTTTTTTTTTTCCTTAGTTTCACCATGGTCTAATTACAATTCCTGAATTCTGTCTTCTGCCAAAGCTTTTCCTTGTGCCCTCCGTGCTAGTCTTCCCTGCAGCATGTTTCTGTCATGGAACGCCAGTACCTTAAATGTATGAGCAGTTAGAATTTTTGTGTGTTGACCAAAATAAATATAAATTCTTATGTATGTGTGGCAAAAGGTGTTGTTGCTAACAATGACTGATCCTTTCCATGCAGGCAGTAGGTTAAGTACGGTTTGTAGCAATTATTTGCATAGTCTATGTGCTAGAATTCAATCATATGTTAAACAACTAAAAATCAAATACAAATATTTCTTGATAATGTGAAGGTGTTGCATCCTGCGTTGAGTTTGATACACTTGTCCTCTTCCACATTGGGAGGTGAAGCTATATTTTATAGCAAATAAAATTTTACTGGAGCTCATGTTTCATCATACTTGTTTTGTTTTTTTCCAGATACTTTACTATTCTTTTTGTTTGTTTTTACAGTTCTATCTTCAAGACACTAAAAGTAGTAATGGTACCTTTATTAATAGTCAGAGACTGAGTAGAGGATCTGAGGAAAGCCCACCATGTGAAATTATGTCAGGTGACATCATCCAGTTTGGTGTAGATGTGACGGAGAACACGCGGAAAGGTAAGGGTATGGATCATTTCTTGGTTGTTTTGTTGTTTTTTTTTCCCCCAAGTGTATTTATTTAGAACATCTTACTACAATCCAATCTTCTTCTCAAATACATAGAACTCTCAAAGGGAATAAGAGAGGCTGTTTCTTAGCGCTGTTTTGATTATTGCCACGGCTAGTGTTACCACATTAACAAGTGAACATAAAAATGAGAGCATCACTTGCAAGTTGTCTCTCTGTGAAGCAAAAATTTTGAGATAAGCAAAACTTATTTCCTTATTCCCATTTTTATGCTCCTTTGCAGCGTAAACCCCTCATCAGGGTTCAGGGCAACTCTCGGTGGTTTTTTGGAGTTGTGTGGTGAAGCGTGTGACAGTTAGGTGTTTCAGAATGACGCAGCAAGTTTGTGACTAAAGTTTCGCAGAGCAAATCGAGCAGGAATAGGGTGTTTTTACTTTATTTGTGGTTGGCTGTGGATGAGGTAGTCGGGAGGCAGAAGGCCGGGGCCCTGCGGCCCTCGCCGGTAGCGCTGCCGTGTCCCCGCGGGCGGCT